AAAAAAATTGAAACAAGTAAAATGCGAAATAGAAAAATTAGAATTATAATAAATAAATAGATACACTTGAGAAATTTAATGAATAAGCGTAAAAACATTTGAATTGAAGCAAAATTGAAGAAGAAAAATACAAAACAAACAAAAGCTAAAACAGAATGTATGGTGTAGAAATAAAGTTTTTCATTTGATTGAGAGTAAGATGCTGAAAGCAAAAAGGAAAAAAAATAAAATAAGAAAATTGAAACAATAAGAAAGAAACATTAAAGTCTGATTAAAAAGAGAAATGCAGAAATATTTAGAAAAAAGACCTAAAACACGAGAGACGAGGAGATAAATATTTTGGAACAAAAGATGGTAGAAAGTAAATTTAGGAAACTAGGAATCAGATAAAAGAAATAAAAAAGTGTTGAAGAAGACAATGAATGAGCGTAAAAATAAATAAAGACAAAAGAAGCAAATAAGGACAAGAAAAAGTTACGGAAATAGAAAAGAGATAGAATTTATGCACAAGAATAATAATAAAATTTTTGATTTTTAATTGTATTAAATAAGATTTTTTATAATATTTTAAGTACGAGTTAGAATAAAAAAAAAATAAAAATTTTCGAAAATAAACGAAAGAACGATAGGAGTAGAAACAATATTAGAAACAAGTAAAACGTAAAAAAGACAAATAGTAATAATAAATAAAAAAAAACATAACAAAACTAAAAAACTTCATCAATCTGTATAAAATATCTGAAAAGGAAATACAAAAAAAAATAATGAATAAGCGAAAAAAAAAATTGAATTTAAGCAAAACTGAATGAGCAAAATACAAAACAAACAACTAAAAACAAAAACAGAATGTATGATGTAGGAATAAAGTTTTTGATTTAATTAAAAATAAGATGCTGAAAGCAAAAGGAAATAAAAAAAGTTTAAAATAAGAAAATTGAAACAGTAAGAAAGAAGTATTAAAGCCAGATTAAAAATAGAAATGCAGAAATACTTAGAAAACACGATAGACGACGGAGATATATATTTTGCAACAAAAGATGGTAGAAAGTAAACTTTGGAAACTAATAATCTGATAAAGAAATAAAAAAGTTGAAAGAAGAATGAATGAGCGTAAAAATAAGTAATGGAAAAAGAAACAAACAAGGACAAAAAAGCTACGGAAATAAAAACAAGATAGAAATTTTACACAAGAATAATCTTTTTGAGATAAAAATAAATAAGATTTTTTTGACAATATTAATTAGAACGAAGAACAATAATAAAACAAATGAAAAAGAAGAAATAAACATTTACTAGAATTTAATAGCAAAATAGGAGCGTTTTCAAAAATTCTGTTTGAATATGGAGTAAAACGCCAAAAATAAGAGGCAGAAATAATAAACATATAAATTGATCGAATTTTTGAAAAAAAGTTTTAAAAAATTAGTGAGACAGAATGGAACAAATAGACTAGAAAAAAGGCAATGTTTGTTTCCTAGAAAAGTTTAAAAAAAGCACTTTTCTTACCTTGAAACTTTCGATTTATACCGCGTTAATCCCCCAGCGTTAAGGAAACTCCCCGATCTGGGTATCGTAACTTTAGTCAGGATATCCCCCGAATTATCCTTTTTCCTTAAACTGTTTCCTTCATTATTTTCCGCCATTTTCACCTTATCAGTCATCATTTGTTTAATTTCTGCTGTGATTTGTTTCTGTTCCCGACTCATGAAAGTATTGATTTTATCTGAGAACGTCTTCGGTTTGATTTCTTCCGGTTTAACCGGTTCTTCGTACGGCAAAATGGCGTCAAAGTCGGGGGTTTTGGGGGCCGGTCGCGATTTAATACTTTTCCGGACGTTCTTTTTCTGGATTAGGGGTTGAGTATCAGAGACCTGAAACAGAAATTTCTGAATAATTAACTAAAACAATGATTTTTTTTTACATCTTGTTGTTCAGTTTCACTAATTATGGATGAAGTAGTGCTCCGTTTTTTTCGTGGGGGCCGAATTGGGACCGATTTTTCGTTAAAAACGCTCGAAGTAGTCGATATACAAGTGATTCCGTTTCGGTTTTTCGGTCTTTTTTCCTTCGCTTTCATGTGGGCCATTAGCGACTTGTAGAGAGTTGCGGCGATGACGATGGCATCTTCGGAAGTTTGACACACAAAACTGGGGGAAAAACTGAGTTAAGGAGAAATTGTAGGGTTTGGGGGACTCACCCGTGGCATTCTAATTGCTTCTGAAGGCCTATTTTGCGCATAACGACGGCAAAAAGTGGTGAATGTGTCTCACTATTGATGAATTTCTTCTCGTTATCAGTCAATTCCCGGAACAGAGCTTTCTTATCAATATTATCAGGATCGGTAATCAGTGGCAAAAAAGCGTAACTTGTCCCTTTTTGTATCACAAACTTGACCGCAGACCACACAGCAATGGTCGGAAACGAATTCATTTGTTCCAAATCACCTTTCTCCCCTTGATATTGCACTTTCAGCCCTTGACCGGAAATCTCTAATTTTCCGGTTAGAGTCTTTTTTAATTTCGTCGTCCTTTTATATGCAAAATAGAGTTCTTTAAGAGGGGTTTGTAGTCCGGCTAGACTTGTCACTTTATCGGTTAAACCGACCGAACCCAAATAATCGACTGAGAAACGATGGGTTGTCCCATCACTTAGAATAATACCATTGTCTTGGGCTACGTCACTAAACATTTTCTCAATTTGTGCTTGAACGCTGTTTTTTGTATTGGTACTTGAATCGGATTCAAACATGGCGTCGATTTTTTGCTTGTAGATGGAATAGACACTTCCGGTATCGCCTTGGTCTTCCATTAGACGGAAACCGGAAGGGGTGCTTGTCACACTAGGAGGGACGAGGGGCACCGGCGGGAGGGCCGGAGGACGGGGGATCACCACGCTGTCCATGATTATCATCATGGGAGGCAATGGATATCACCAGCTGCAAAAAAATTATATGTTATTAAAGATAAAAGTCAATAATGGTTGTTTATGTATCAAGGTAATAAACAACTATTTTAATCCCGAGAATGTAGGCCATTTCCCCTATCAGACTAAATTTGTCAAAACGAGGGAATAAAGTGTCCCTTTGTTTCCTGTTAAAAAAATAAAAGTAAACAATTTCAAAACACGTGAATTAACTTTGAAAAAAAACACAGGAAGTTTGACATAAAAATAGAGGAAAGAATTAAATGGAACAATTAATTCTAACAAAATTAAGATAATGATAGAATAACATAAAAGTGGCAATACAAATTAGAAAAACAGTAAAAATGTGGCTATAGAAACAAAAAAATCGAGGGACCGTTAACTCTGGAATTATTTGGAAGTTTTTGGAATTATTAAAATTATTTTTGGATTGTCTGGAATCACCATAATTTTAATTACTGGAATTACCGCTTTTTTTTTAGAATCTTCTCAGCAAATTTCATTTAAAAATGGCGTTAAACTTTTTAAAATTCATTTTAAATTACAGGAATTATTTTAGAATTATGAAAATTAAGTTGGAATTACAGGAATTCATTTGGTATTGTAAGAATTTATCTGAAAACACTGGATTAATAAAATTACTGAAATTTAATTTCGGTGAAATTTTTCTGAAATTACTGGAATTCTTTATGAAATTACGAGTATCAAAGATATTTTTGTTTTGAAAATAATGTTGAATTTCTTGGAACTATTGGAATTAATTCGGAATTATAGAAATTATTTTAAAACTACAAAATTAAGTTGGAATTAATTAATTACGATGGATTAATAGAATTACTAAATTAAA